TGCCATCATCATTTTCAAAACATTTTCTTTCTACTTGAGCCTTTAGTATCAGCTCTTTTTTTTTTCAGACCTGTTTCTATGACAATAAATTTACTACCATTTTGAATAAAAACCTCAGTCATGTGTTAAAAAAAATTCATAATATGGTTTAAAAAAATATTTAGTAGAGAGTAAAATTATTCTAAAAAGCCCTAGTGGTGCAGTGATTAAGTATTCAGCTACTAACTGAAAGGCTAATAATTTAAGCCCATCTGGAGAAAAGGGCTAGCAATCTGCTCCCTTAAAGATTACAGTCTAGTAGTTCTACTCGGTCATAAAGGGTCTCAACAAGTCAAAAGTGGCTCAATGGCATATAAGAACAGAAATTTCTGTATGATATTGGGTACTTGTCAAAACCAGCTGCCATGAGTCATCATCAACTAGGTGACAACAAAAAACCTAGGGCTGTACAACACAGAAAGTGCATCTTAATATAAACTGTAGACTTTAACCAATAATGCACCAATGCTGTCCAATGACTACAACAAATGTCCCACAAGAATGCACAATGTGGAACAGTGTGAATGGGGGAGTAGAGGCATATTGGAACATTACTTTCTGCACAATTTTTTTTCTTTTTTTTTCTGAGTAGAGGGCTCAAAAAATTGTGTATCTCTTTCCCTGAAAGTGCCTGCTAAAAAGGAGAGCGTTTACACACCAAAAAATCTAGGAGCATTCTGCACAATATTTTTGTAAACCATTACTACTATAAAAAATGAGGCAAATGAAAAATCAATTTAGATTTCTCCAGATTATTTCCTATTTGTACAATTATGATGACAGTATTATCTAACTGATGATTATATCTCACAAACACCCTGAGATATATATGACAATAATAAACATCCTCATTTGATTAGCATCTGGAAAATGCACCTTCTCAATCTATGATTAATAACTCTTTTATATTGATTTGTCTCTCTCAAAATGTATTGTAAATGTTACTCCTAACCCTGAGTTGGGGCATCCTGTTGGCATGGTGACTTAAACACTGGACTTGTAAACCAAAAGGTCACTAGTTTGAATCCACCAGAGGATCCATGGAAAAAATGTGGCAGTGTGGGTCCATAAGACTTACAGCCTTAGAGAGTCTGTGCGGCAGTACTACGCTGTCCTTAGGGTCAATAGGCATCAAAATTGACTGGATGACATTGAGTTTTTGGTATACCTGTGGTCATAATACATTTCAGAATGAATTTTCTTTGTTATGTTAATGAGAATGTATTCATATGGGGTGTATCAAATCAAAATCTTTTGTAATATCAAAAATAAATCAAAACCAGGAGCAAAAAGCATATGGAGGACATAAATGCCACACCACCTTAAGATCATCAAAGAACCAAACCAATAAAAAATAAATACCATTACACCACCCACATACGGTATTTCTATCATAACAACATGAGCTAACCAAGACAAGGGTTTACTCTAAAGTCTCTGTATTATTGTCGCTTACATTGCTGCTGTTAGGTACCTTTGTGTCAGCTCTAACTTAGAGCAACCCTATGTACAACAGAATGATACATTTCCCAGTCCTGTGCCATCCTCAATCATTTCTATGTTTGAGCTCATTGTTGCTGTCACTGTGCCAACTCATTTCATTGAGGGTTTTCCTCTTTCATGTTGTCCCTTTACTTTACCAAGCATCATGTGCTCCTATAAACATAGTTCTCATTAGAGCTATGATAAAGAATGTTATCTTTTTAAAAGTGGGGGCTAATATAATAAATAATAAGTCATAACTAATATGGCTGCTAGGTTAAATTAATAAGGCTAAAATGAACTTGCAGAGTACTATTTTAATATTATTATTTTCTGATGGTATCAGGGCCAAGCAGTTACTGTTTAATGAAGGTGAATAAGCATCAATTAGGTTGCTGAGAGGACTGAAAAGCCAATGTTCTTCATCTCATTTTTCTAAGTTCACAGTAAGTCAATTCCAACTCAAAGCTACCCTACGGGGTGGAGTAGAACTGACTAAACCATAGGGTTTCCAGGGCTGCAAGTCTCTGCAGAAGGTGACCGCCCCATCTTTTCTGCCACAGAGGGGTTGGTGGGTCAAATCAATGATCTTCTGTTTAGTAGCCAGGCCCTTGAACCAGTGCGCCACGAGAGCCCTTTGTTTCTTTAATCTGGTGAATTTCCACAATCTTTTGGTTTGTATCTGTTATTTTTTTTAAAAATATTATCCCCTCCTCTTTCTCTTAGCACATTCTTCATTAGTCCTAACTGAACAACTGTATCCTGAGCATTTCCACCAAAATTATAACCTGTTAACTTCCACAATAAACTCCAGAATCATAAGCATTGTCTACAAGGTCTATGTGGACATGGTAAAAAATTATGAAAATGGATATTGCTATGGAAGACAGAGCATTCAAAGTAGAGGGTACTGTGTGAAAAATAACATTAATGTATAAAAGAAGGTTGTGTATTAAAAAGCAGAAAGCTATCATGTTTTTGTCTTAGCTACCTAGTGCTGCTGTAAGCGAAATACCACAAGTAAATGGCTTTAACAAACAAATTTATTCTCTCAGTGCTTTGAAGGGTAGAAGTCCTAATTCACAGTGCCAGCTCTAGAGAAAGGCTTTCTGGGCCAACTCACAACTGAGGAGGAAGGTCTACCTTGCTCAGCATCTGTGGGAGCAGCTTTCTTTGGGGATCTCTAAGTGTCTTGGCATCATTCTTCTCTGTTTAGGAGCTCTACAGTACAGTGACTGTAAGCACCACTCTCAGCTCTTCTTCCTTAGTAAGACTGAAGTCTCTCCGCTTGCTTCTCTCTCCTTTCATGTCTTGTAAGGTAATAGGTGATGCAGACCACATTTCATGGAGATTCCATTAGGGCTTTACTTGACTTGGCGTTGATCTAGGGTCCAGCATGGAAGTGCTATTGCTCACAGTGAAAGCCATATTTTTTGTTTACAAAGCCTGCTCCGCCCCTCGTCCAGCAGGCAGTAATGTCAGACCCATTCATGCTAGAATCCAGCCCAGTAGCAGCCATGGACCCAACCAGAAAGATGCCAGGACTCCTGATGTCTAAAAGATTAACAGATGCCCCAAAGAAATAAATACTCTGGAATTTTCTTTGTTCCCTCTCACCTCTCTTGCCTCTCACCTAATCTGCTCTCTGAAAAGCCTGCAGCTCTCTAATGCTTCTAACCCTCAGGATCCCTTTCTGCTCTTTCACCCACAAGCTTCCTCCACAAAACTAGACATGGCTGCAGCCAGGGCCATTGACTCTTTCCTTGCTGAGCCCCATTGCAGTTTGCTAGTGGGTTTGCATTAAAACCTGTTTCTCTCTTCTTTTCTGCAGCTGCGGCTCTTGGGGCCTCTATACCTTTTAAGTCAGCTAATTCTCTGGCTTTAGACAAAGGACCAGCTCTAATCTTTCTCTATGTGGCTATCCTAAATTCCTTTCACCTCAGGTCCTTTGATCTCCCATTGCCTATAAATCTCATTACCCTGAATAAATATATTAATTAAAAGTCTTGCTCTGTCTCTTGTTGCTGAAAAACCTTACAGTTGAATCCTACACATTAGCTCAGGGCTCATCAAACCAAATCACATCTTGGGAACAATGACATCATTATCTAATTGCCAAACCACTGAGACGCGCAGCCCAGCCAAGCTGACATATATTTTAGGGGAACATAATTCAATGCATAACATTTTAGTAGCTAGGGTACTTATTACTATTTATATAATTTCTATGTCTTAAATTTGGCCCTTAATGTATCTTTCCAATTGTTTTAATAGAAAATGAGAGCTGCTTTTAAGAGCTGCACATATTCACAGTCACATTTTGAATTAATATTGTGATTTATTAAACATACCCTGAAATTCTATGTCTCCAGTTCCGATAGGGATCATATAAACTTTCACAAAATGCCAATGCATGGATTACAAATTCTTCAATTGCTGTCTGATCTGCCATTTCCTTCTCTTTTTTTTTGCTTTTTAACTGAGAATAAATTTAAAAGTATAATTTTACTTACTTATAAATATTATGCCACATAACATGTTCACCATTCTTACCCACACATTAAACCACTATTACTTAATTTTTTTTTAAATCACTCTTATTAAAATAGCCTAACATCTCCTTAGAATCCAAAGAGTCAGTAAGCCATATGAGCTATTTGCTTTTTTAAATTAAAGTTCCCTCTTTGGACATATGCTGTATCCCTTCAGTGATACTCAAAGTTTTTGAAAGGACTGGCATTTTACACACTCCAAAGAGCATAGTAGCCTGTCTTACTCAAAGCAGCAAGTCAACTACTTTGCTTTTATACCTAAAAGCACCAGCACTTTCCTTAGCACAATACAATTACAAATTTTAAATATTTCCCAGAAAAGACTTGAAATAGTAATCAATCTTTGTTTACAATAACACAGATATATATGACAAATGAATAAATGCATATTGTGACAAATTATATAAATTTAAAGACATTTATAAAGCATAAAAATATTAAACAAAAAAAACATTTATAAATATAAAACTTTAAAATTTTAATTACAACACCATTCACATTTAGATAATATATATAATATGTCTGCAATACCAGGGTGTTTCAAAAAGGTTCTGGAATAATAGGAAATTTTGACTCAAATTTTTGGAAGCCCTCTCATATACAGTACCCAACAATTTTAATTATTTTAATAACCATTAAGTGTACTTAATATGTACTTAATGTACTTATAGTTCATTAACTATACATTAACTACCCCCAAAAAAGACCCATTAAAACCTAGTTACTCCAAGTAAAACAACAAAAAGGAATACTGGTTCAAACCTACTTGCTGAATATAGAGTGTTGTCATGGTGATAACATGATTGATATATGAGCAAGTCCCAATTTCTTCCACATTAGATAGATTTCTGTAAGAAAAAAGTATATAGTTATTACATAGGAATGGTGAGCCACATATATATCCATGTATTCATATTTAATTATAAGGACACCCACTGGCAAACAAAATGCAAATGATAATTTTTATAAATCAATATGATTCTATAATTGTGTTCCATTAAGAATGTGAAATAACAGGTAAAATGTGAAATAAATCAGATGCATATTAACATCTATTTCTTAAAGGAAAACTAGAAAATTCAGAGATGAATTATATTCTTATATTTGGGTATTTTTTCAACAGGGCACTTTTTTCCCAATCCTGTGCAGGATCTTAGTTTTTTACAGAGTATTGCCACCATCCCATATGTCTAACTGTGTAACTTTTGCTTTTTGAAATTCATGTTCCCTTTTTAGATTTATGTTGTATCCCTTCAATGATATTCAACATTTTTTAAAGGACTGGCATTTTACATACTCCAAAGGCATAGCAGCTTGTCTTACTCAAAACAACAAGTCAATTCTTTTGCTTTTATACCTAAACGTACCAGCACTTTCCTTAGCACAATACAATAAGAACATTCCATTAATTTCCTGTTGTGAAACTGTCACCTTGAAAAATACTTTATATCTTAAAAAACAATAGTTGCTAAGCAAACAGGAAATATTAGCTGAATATGCAGATTTTGTAATGTAATGTAAGGGAGATTTGCATGACATCTTGGAGAAAATAAAGAGTAAAGGACAAAGGTAAAATTATAACCTCTGCCACTGAGTTGTTTCTGATAAAGGTGAGCTAGGTCAAACGTCCGCCTATGACCTATAAAAGGCAGAGAGTACATTAAAAAAAAAAGATAAGAAGCAGATGCATGACTTTGACAGGGGCACAAAAGTTGAAAAAGGACAAAAACTGGCATTCACGACCTATAAAGGGTAGTTTCTCAAACTATGGTTTGAGATGACAAAGGGTCACATTGAAGAAATAAAGGAGTGAATGAGAAGTGGACCAGTATGTCCAAACAATGAAGTCCAAATCACTGCAATCTTGACTACAGTGCAGTGTGTCCTATTGTACTGCCAAGTCATGATGGGTAGAAACCAACTTGAGGTATGGAATAACAACTAGCTTTTCAGAAACTAATGTAAATTACCACCGGAGAAAGTATCATCAAAGGCCTAAAGTTACCTTTATTAGTTTTCAAAATACTGTAATGCTCAACAGCCAATCAAAACTAACTACTCACTTGAAAAGGTGTTTGAAATTAAAAAATAAACAAAAGACACCAATCCACAAGTTGAAGGTGGGATGTGGAGAATCCATGCTTAAAAGAATATACACTAATCTTTAGAGAATGCAAAATGGGAAATATAAATATACATATATTTTTTTAATTTAAAGAGAACCTTTACTAAATCTTTTTTTTAAAGATTTTATTGGAGTCTCGTATAATGCTTATCAGAAGCCATACATCCATACATCCACTGTGTCAAGCTCATCTGTACATTTGTTTCCTACCTTTTACTAAATCTTAAATGGGACAAAGACATGGCAACTACGGACATTATCATCTGGATCAGCAAGAGATGATAATGGTGTCCAAGGGTTTGCTGAGGTACAGAACTTGAAAAAGCATATGGGATGTCAAAGAAAGCTATAATAAAAACATGGCTGGTGGCATATAATTACAATACAGTTTCTAGTGGGATCAGGATCATGATTACAATACTCAGAGTTATGTTAGATAAAAGAGTTTACAATATTTGTTCAGGAGCTTTTCCAAGGCAATCAGAGCATGACTAATGACCATTCAACACCCAGTATGGTGATCTCCATTAAGGACACAGCCCAGCCAAGCTAGCCCTTAAGGGAGACTATCTCTAGGTGGGCCAGTGGGGTGGTGGCAATCCACTTTCCAATGCAGTCTATCCAAGGATAAGGCTATTTCCCATCCCAGGTCAATGGTCACAGGGAATTAAACTAAGGCGTAATCCACATGCAGACTCTGCAAATGGATTTTAGCCTTTCCCCGTCATCCAAAACCTTCTGTAAACTAGATGCTCAAAATTTAAGTTCTAATACAATACCCTCCTCCTATCATGGATTTTATTTTTTACAGTCCTTGGATCACAAAGGCTTGAGTGCTCCTTCCATGAGGACTTAGCTAACACCTCAGATAACATGGCTGCTTGCTTTTAAGATACAACTTTAAGACCCCAGATGTAAATAGCCAGGCGCCATCTGATTTCTTCAGCACATTTTGTTACAAAACCCATCTCTTCAGTGATCACTTAAGAGGGCAAGTGGAGACCAGGACCTCATCATAAGAACTAACTGTTCCTAGATTAGGGCTTATGATTAAGCTGCAAGTTCAAAAGCCACTCATATATTTAAGGACCACTTTAGAGGCAGCATTATCAGCTCCTTGAAAAATAATATAACTAACATCCATGGGACATTTGGTAATTCTAATA